AACCTGAAATTCTTATGTTTTCCAATTGCATACTACACAGTAAGCACCAAGCAGGAGCTTTTACTCTACAAGGAGGAAGACACTCCCATCCCCCAAATGAGACAGTCTCATCATGGGGCCCAGACTGGCTTAGAACTTGAGGTTTCTCCTCAGTCTCCCCAAGGCTGGGCTTATAGGTATGAGTCACCATGCCCAGCTTATTAGTCTCCTTTTATAGACAGGGAAACCACAGCTGAGAATGCATGACACTTTCCCAGAGCTGGGCATGTTGGCACACCTATAATCCCAGTACTGGAGAGTTTGAGGTTGGATTGCTGTGTTCAAAGCTAGCCTGGGCTACGTAGCAAGACAGAACCTCAGAGTAACAACATAAAACAACAACCAGGGTGTGGTGGGGCAAGCTCTGAAGAGGCACCCTGCTTGACATGTTGCTCTAGAGCCTACAGCTAGGATGATGGAAAGCCTTGGCAGTCCTGGCTGGAGCCTTCCGCACCCACATACCTGTGAGCTGAGCAGCTTCAGGTACTGGGAGTTCATACTTTGATAGAGACGGCGGTACTGTAGGTTCACCACGAGGCTGCCAGGAGCGCGTGCACAGGACACGGGGGAAACAGTAAACAGTCAGACCTTTCCAATTCCCCACTTTGGGTATCTCACCTCTCTTATACTTACTGATCTGAACGGGGCTGGCGTTCAGAGATTCTCAGCCCACCCAAACTTGGGAGATGTGTGGGTGCATCTTTCGGTTGTTACAATGGCTGGGATACAGCTGGCATTTAGTGTGGGGACCGGCAGGTGTGAAAGTCACAGCAGGGAATGAAGGAGGAACGCATGGGCACTAAAGACTTCGCTACACTCCCACCAGCTAGGGGGACCCTTTTACTTGCAGGGGTCACAGAATGAGCTGAGCCGCTCTGGGTGGCAGTTGGGACAGGGACTGCTCACTAAATGTCAGCAAAGGGTCTGCAAATAACCAGCATGGCTACTTCCAAGTTAATTGTCTGAAGGTCGATCGAGATGGAGGCCAAAGCCATTAAACGACCTGCATAACTAATTTTTTTCACCCTGACTGTCCACACCACCCACTCTGAGGAGCCCTGGCTGCAGGACCCCTGTGAACCCTGCCAATGCTACCTCCTAAGCCGTGAGCGGCCATAGAAGCTTACTTGCACATGTCCCAGCGAGGCAGCTTCTCAGGGATGTGGAGGGCCTTCCGGACATATGGGTTGTTGAGGTAGGTGGAGGGGGCTGTAGTGTTGGTGCAGGGGGGATCCATGCGCGCCTTGTCCCCGGAACGCAGCAGCAGTGTCTGGGAGCATGGACACAGGGTGAGGGCCTTTACTTGTCTGCCCTGCCTACTCCCTCCGGGGAAAGCCTGTGCCCTTGCATACCTGATGATATTTCCGCTTGAGTGGCAGTCGAGTGAAGATGTTACCGAAATCATGGATCACAAGAGTGTCCTCATATCTGGGGGGGAAAAAAGATGGGTGCTGGGCCTCTAGAGGCAGTTGGGATTGGCCCAAGGCATAACCAGCAGCACCTACCTATCAGTGCCGGGCACCCCACCAGCACACGGGGCGTAGAGGTTGTATATGTTGAGGCCAGAGTTGCTCACAATTCGAGACACTTCCAGGAGCTGTGACAACATACCATCATGTTTTCCGGATCCATGGCCTTACCCACTCCCCTAAGATGAACTTCTCTCCTACCTTCTCTCCCGTCGCCACCCTTCACCCACTCTTTTTCACAGGTAGAGAGCCCAAAGCTCACTGGTAGCAATCTTCCAGACCTGGGTCCAACCCTGGCACTGATGTTCCCTGCCATGCGACTTAACGCAAGTGGCTTAAGCGTCCTTGGCTTCAATTTCCTCACTGGATTTCTCAAAGACCACAGTATCGAAAGGTCGGGGACAGAAAGGCTGTGGGGTGAGCTGGAGCTACAGCCCAGTTGGTAGAGTGTTTGTGTTGCATGCATGAGGCCCTGAGTTCAATCCCCAGTTCTACCAGAAAGAGAAGCAATGGAGCTGGAGAGCTAGGGGGTTCCCAAGAAGAGGTGTGAGCCTTATCTCAGGAACTAGTGTAGAAGGGCTGATACACAGAAGGGGGCAGAAGCTCACATTGTTTACGCATTCTGGATCTTTGTTGTCATAGAAGTTACACTTGTTCTGAGAGCAGCAGTGGGTCTGGAGCAAAGTCCAAAGCCTGTAGACCAGAAAGGGCTCAGGTTGAAGGAGGGCAGTGGTGCTATGTGCAGGGTGGGCCTTCCTCCCACTCATCAGACCCTGACCCCACGGGAAAAGGAAAGGTAAGACAGGGTATGGTGTGTAGGCTATCACATCCAATTCCCAAGAACCTGCCCCCTAGTCCATATATAGATAGCCCGCCTCCGGGCCTTTTTAAAAAGGAAATTAAAAAGTGATTTTGAGACCAGGTTTGTGTGGGTAGTCTGGGTTCAAGTCCTAAAGTCACTGTGTAGGCCAGCACCTGTTTCCAAGCGCTGGCTTATGGGTGTTGATCACCATGCCCAGTCTCCTTGCTTTCTTTAAATACTGGTCTCCGTTCTTGGTCTTTAAGCCCCAAACCCTTTTGGCAACCCTATGTCCTCATAAACCAGAGCAGGAATGTCATGTGCCAGTGGGCAGATCTGAGGTCTTATGGCTTGCCCCACCTTAGATGTTGCCCAACTGCCCCTCTCTCGTACCTGTTCCCCAGAAGACCATGGTAGTACGCAAAATAGACCAGAGAGTTGTCGTTCTGTTCATAGGACGAGAGCCCGTTGCCCACAGCCAGTCCCTGTGAAACACCCAGGGGCCTCAGTTCATCTGCAGGGTGAGAAGGGGACCCTCCCTTGACCTACACCTAGACCTGCAGTCTACAAGCTGAAATCCAGAGTGGTTTGTGGGCGTGGGTGGGTGGGGGAGGCCATTCAACCTAAAGATCGTATGTGGCAGCCTGGCAGGTGAGCTTCCTGTAGTAGGAGGCACGCAAGCTGACAGAGTAGCCAACTAGAAGGCTGTGGAGCGCCTAGGCTGACCTTACTAATCCCAGATCATGGCCCCGAGGTGCCTGCCTCCTTTGCCTCCTGCAGCTGCCTTGTACCTGAAGGTTCATGCTGGGGTCCTGCATGACCAGGACAGCCAGGGTGGGGATGTAGATGCCAGCATAACTCTCTCCAGTCAGGAAAAGTTTGTTGTCCTTGTACTCCGGAAAGAGGCGGAAGAAATCCTTAAGGGCTTCATAATTGTTCTGAGCCACCTGGGACGGTGAGATGGAGGAGTCAGAGACTCGGATGCTTAAACGAGAAAGGTATTCAGAGATAATGATTCCAAACCCACTTTATTTTGTGTAAGAGGAAGTGACTCTGTTATGAGCCTACCACAGAGCACATGACAGAGCCAAAAGTGGATTCTGAGGCCGAGCTCTCTCCCCTCATCGTACCAGCTTTGGGGACACAGGGAGAATGGTGCAGGTCGATGGGTGCCAGCCTCACCTCAGTGTCATTGGTCACATACGTCTTGTCATCCGAGTAGGAAAAGCCCACTCCCGCTGGGGACTCGATATACAGCATGTTGGCAATCTAGAGGGGAGGGGGGAATGAGAAGAGGGTTCCCCACCCCTTCAAGTACCCAGACACCCCCACAAGACCCACAGCTGCAGGTGTACCAGGTTCCAGGAATAAGGGTTGTACTTCAGGGTGATTCCATCTGGCTGGATCTGGGGAGGGAAGACACAGCTGTGTGAGTCCCAATGGGTAGCTGGGTGGAGAGAAAGAGCCATAGTGCTGGGCTCTTACATATTGCCACACTCCCTGAGAGGTACAGAAAGTTAGGTCAAGGGTCAGATAAAGCAAAACAAAATAGAATCGTGGGGTTTTTTGTTTTCGAGACTGGGTTTCTCTGTGCAGCCCTGGCTGTCCTGGAACTCGCTTTGTAGACCAGGCTGTCCTTGAATTCACAGAGATCCGCCTGCCTCTGCCTCCCCGAGTTATGGGGTTAAGGGCATGCTCCACTACCATCCTGATCAAAATAGAATTGTTAAGAAGGAAAACACTCTTGGGAAGCCATAGGTTCCTTTCTCCCTCCCCCCTGTCTCCTGCCCTCTCTCTCAGCGGGGGAGAGCAGGGGTCAGCTCACCAGGAAGGGGCCGTGCTCTGTCAGGAACCCGTCTAGAGAGCTGCAGCCAGGACCCCCGTTGAGCCAAAGCACTACCGGGCTGTTCTTTGGGTCTTTCTGCGACTCCACAAACCTAGGAAGGGCAGCACAGGGATTGATGCAAGTAAGAGACCATGTCCTGCCTGGGGTCTTCCGACTTCGCCCGCCCAGTTATCATGCCCTCCTCGGGAGGCAGGGCCGCACACCAGTAATGGAAGTGCTTGTTATCCGAGGCTCTGAGGTAGCCGGAGTACTGCTGGAAATCGGGCTGCTTATCCAGGCCGGGAAGGCAATCGATTTCATCCTGGTCAGGAGCTGCTTCGCCCCGGGACGCCCAGGACACAAGCAGCAGCAAGAGGAGTGGGGACAGCGCGGCTCGGAACATCTGAGAGAGGAAGCATCGGGGGAGGATGTTTACCAGCTCCCCTGCTCATCTGCGCTTCGGTGTAGCAGTCCCAGGGGAGGAGCTGGCGAGCATCTCCCGGGGAAAGCCTCACTCGGGTCCAGCTCCCCGCCGACCGACCGCAGAGCCTCGATCGCCGCAGCCTGGGAGTCTCCTTACCTCTGCTTCCTTGCGTCCTTGCTCTCCAAGAGGCGCCAGTGGACTGGAAGTCATGTGTAGTCCTAGTCACGTGAACTTCTCCATCACGTGACAGTTTGTTCATGTTCACTATTTTTTGTCTGCTGGCTTGAGGCTCGGGAGCGGTCGGTTACCAGGTCAAAGTACACAGTCCCGAGGATCATTACCAGGGTGCCAGAGATCAGATGATCTTGGTGTTGGCAGCAAGGTTTCCCAGGCTCCTGGGGAACATGTTACTGGGCAGATGCTGAGAAAGCGGCGCTAGGACCCCCGGGCGGAGCGAGGGGGAAATGCCTTACATAGTCCCCCGCGGCCACCATCTGAGTCCGCCGCCCAAAATAGCCCTTGGCACGAGCTGGCTTGTCTCATGGCGGGGAGATGGCTGCTGCCTCCGAACCCGTAGGGCTGGGTGGCCCACGGGGCCCTGCGCGCCCGGAGCCCCCTCCCACCCGCTTCCATGAAGTGCACGGAGCCAACATCCGCGTGGACCCGTCTGGGACCCGAGCCACACGTGTGGAGAGCTTCGCCCACGGTGTGTGCTTCAGTCGAGAGCCCCTAGCCCCGGGCCAGGTGTTCCTAGTGGAGATAGAGGAAAAGGAGCTGGGCTGGTGCGGGCATCTGCGTCTTGGCCTGACCGCTCTGGACCCGGCCAGTCTGGCCTCTGTGCCCGAGTTTTCATTGCCTGACCTGGTCAGCCTTGGCCAGAGCTGGGTCTTCGCCATCACACGCCACCACAACCGCGTACCCCGGGAGGGTCAAGCAGATGCAGAGTCGGCGGCCCCCAGCCGCCCCCAAGCCCTCCTGGTTGAACCCTATCTGCGCATCCAGCAGTTCCGAATACCCCGGGACCGCCTGGTGGGTCGCAGTCGGCCGGGGCTCTATAGCCACCTCTTGGACCAGCTCTACGAACAAAACGTGCTGCCTCCTACAGCGCGCCGTAGCCGCCTGGGTGTTCTCTTCTGCCCGCGTGAGGATGGGACCGCCGACATGCACATCGTCATCAACGGGGAAGACATGGGCCCCAGTGCCCGGGGGCTGCCGTGTGCCCGGCCTCTCTATGCCGTGGTAGATGTGTTTGCCTCCACCAAGAGTGTGCGCCTGGTCCAACTGGAGTATGGCTGTAGGTATTCCACCCTTGGGTAGTGACCTTCTCCTGGCTCAGTGTAGGGACAGGCACCTGCTAGGACCCCAAAGCCAGCTATCAAGGCCTTATATTGTCCCGCACTAGTTTTGAAGATGGAGAATCTGGCTTCATTTAGGGCAGCTGCTGGTTGCACACATTGCTCCTTGGCTGTGGGCCTGCCTCAGTATACCCTGCTCGGCTGCTTGACTAAGTAAGACCCTACAGTTCCCTTTTAGTTTGGATGATGTTCCAATAGTAGGATAGGGATTTTTTTGTTTGTTTTTCTTTTTTTTTTCTTTTCTTTTTTTTTTTTTTTTTTGCTTTTTGAGACAGGGTTTTTTTGTAGCTTTGGAGCCTGTCCTGGCACTCACTCTGTAGACCAGGCTGGCCTCAAACTCTCAGAGATCTGCCTGCCTCTGCCTCCCGAGTGCTGGGCCTAAAGGCATGCGCCACCACTGTCCAGCATGGATAGGGATTTTTTTGTTTTGCTTTATTTTTGTCCTGGAAATTAAGGGTCTCATGCAAGCTAAACAGTCTTGCTGTGCTGCACACCCCAGGCCCTAAGACGGGGACTTTAGACCTGGGGTTTCTTGAGAGTTTTGTGCACTTAATTTAGTTTTGGTTTTTGAGACCAATGTACTCTGTACCTCAGGCTGGTCTGGAACTTGGTCGTTGAGGCAGGCCTCAAACTTTCAGACAGCCCTTTCTGCTCCAGCCTGCTTGGGGCTGGGATTAGAGTTATAAACCACCACCTTCAGCTAGGAGTTGTCTTTCTTAGAAAAATGTTCACAGATTTGGACCTGCCAGTTTTAGAGCCATCACAGACCTCAGGTTGTGAACTTTTAAATTCTGAGGTCTGGCTCACTGTAGCCCAGTAAACCTTTCACTTACACCTCTGGTCACCGCGTCATGAAATTATTGAGCTGGAACCGGCTAGGTACGGGGCTGTGGTTTCATAGTCAAATCAGACATGAAGCTGCTCAGTCAAGGGAGAAGGAATTAGACTGTATTATAATGGAAGCAGGTCTGGTCAAAGTCTCAGGGATACAAGCAGCCCCACCAGGCAGGCTGAGCCTGAGAGCAGAAAGCAGTTCCCGGTGTGATGTAGCTTTTCAGCCCTGGCTGGCGTCACCTCCCCCAGATGAGTTTGCCTTTGACAGTCGTCTCTCCACAGTGCCATCTCTACAAACTCTGTGCCGTCTGGTGATCCAGAAGAGTGTGGTGCACAGGCTGGCCATTGATGGGCTCCACCTGCCCAAAGGACTGAAGGATTTCTGCAAGTATGAATGAGGACTCGTGGCCCCCAGAGCAAAGCCACAGAAGTGCATCCCCGCCTGCCTCCAGAGCACTGGCTAGTCTGGAGCTGGCCACATGGCTGATGATCAGGGCCAGGAAATAAATAGCCAGAGTGGGTGTGCTGAGCCCTGGAGGGTCTCCTTGCCTCTGCAGCCTCAGAGAGACACTTCTAGAGTCACCATGTTGAAGAAAGTGCTTTAGAACCTGTCTAGATCAGGGGTCCCTAGTGTGCACAGGCCTTTGAATTATCTAGGTCACTTGGTGAGTGCCAAGGCACCGCATATGCTCCTCCATATTCTCCTTTGGTTTGTGGGAATTATACCCAGTCATCATGGCTTTTTGTGTTGTTTTGTTTAGACAAGGTCTTGCTTGTGGCCTAGGTTGCCCTTAGATCCCCAGATTCTGAGATTGCAGGTGTGAGCCTCCATGCCTTACTTAACACTATTTTTTTGTAAAATGCCCCTTCAGAGATTCTGATACATGGTCAGAGTAGAGAAACATTTCATTAGAGCAGAGGTTTCACCTTTGGAAAAGATTATATATACTGTTTTGTTTGAGACGGGGTCTTACTATGTAGTACAGGTTGATCTTGAACTGTGGCAGTCCTCCTATCTCAACCTGAGAGTCCAGGCATAGCCTACTAGTTCTGGCTCTGTCTTTTGCAGTATTGGGGATTGAGTTTAGTGCCATAGTGCCAAATGCTTGCTAGATGAGCACTGTGCCATCAAACCACAGTCCCCAAGCTTTCCCCAGCCCTTTAAAGACAGGGGTCTCAATATGTGGCCCTAGCTGGTGTGAAAATCATAACGATCTGGCCCTCTTTGCCTCCTGAATGCTGGCATTCAGGCGTATACCACCATACCCAGCTGCCAGCCCCGAGGCTAAGGTGCCCATGTTAGCCTTAAACTTGTGATCCCTCTGTCTCAGCTTCCAGGTAGCTGGATTCCGGGCTTGTCCCATCAGGCCTGGCTATAATGTCTTCAGGAACTTAAAAGTATTGATACATAGGTCTGTCCCTGGGATTCTATTAGGTGATCTAGGACGGAGCAGGGCCTTAGTTCAAAGGCTCCCAGAGCCTGTGCTGACCACCAGTGACCTGAACCAACCATGTCATTTTCCAGAGGGAAAACAAGCCAAGAGGTGAGAATATATTTGTGTAAGGACAAATAGCAAATGATTTACCAGGCTGGTCTCCCACTCAGAGATCCACCTGCCTCTGCCTCCTGATTCAAGGTGTGAGCCACTATTTGTGGTTCTAGCAAATGATTTAAAAACAAACAACAACAAAGCAGGGTGGGGCTGGAGAGACGGCTCAGTGGTTAAGAACACCGGCTGCTCTTCCAGAGGTCCTGAGTTCAATTCCCAGCAACCACATGGTGGCTGACAACCATCTGTAATGGGATCTGATGTCCTCTTCTTTCAAGCAGGCACACATGTAAACAGAGCGCTCATATACATAAATAAATAAATCTTGAAAAAAAAAAAGCGGAGTCACCCCTACTCCAGTTTGCCTTCAAACTTGCCATAAAATGGAGGATGACCTTAGATTTCCGGTCCTCCTGCCTCTACCACCTGAATGCTGAGATTACAGGCGTGTGCCCCATGCTTGGGTTATGTGGTGGCGAGTGAATGATTGAATACCTTGATTCAGACTATAAGGCACAAAGCACTGAACTCATTTATTCATATCTCTGATCATTAGCTTCTACAGGGACAATCTCATCTCACCCTGACAACTTCTGGTGCAGTAAGGGGCAGTATTACCCCCATTTTGCAGATGAGATATTGAGGAACAAAACTGTCTAGGTGGCACACACCTATATTCCTGGAAACCTAGAAGGCTGGGACAGGAAGATGAAGGGTTTGAGGCCAGCCACACAGAAGCAAAAACACAGACTGGGCGGGGTGGTTCACGCCTTTGATCCCAGCAAGCAAGCAGGAGACCTCAGGCCTGGAACAGGAAGTAGACCACAGGGAGTCCAGGTCAGCCAGAGCTATGTAGTTTGATTATCTCAAAAAACAAACAACAAAAAGCAAACAACTAGAATGTAGTTCTGAGGCAGCCTTCACTCCTAACATTTGCTGGATTCCATCCCCAGCACCAGACAAAAGCAAAACAAAAACAACCTGCCCAAGCTGATCTTGTCCAAGATAATGACAAGAGCCCAGAACATCCCGACCCTGGTTCAGTGTCATTTAACCTCTCCCATTGTGACATACATGTTCTATAATGAACAGGTTAGTATTGTGAGGTAGGGTCTGGTGTAAAGGGGACTATGAGGTGACATTGTAGAAAACTGGAGAGTAGGGCAGGTGGAACAGGGCTATTCCTTCACAAACAGGGACTTTGGGGCAGCCATGTCCTACTTCATGTCTCCACAAACTCATCTGGGGCTTCTGCCTTCTGGCCAAGGTGAGAGGGGATCCTGGAACTGGAGGGGCCACCACAGCTTCCCCCGTGAAGTTGCTTCCTGGCTTTGGGGAGGAGGTTCTGCTGGATGCTTTTGGGCTGCCCGTGGAATCAATTTTCTTGGAAGAAAAGATATCCAAAAGGCCTTGCCAATTACTAATTACCCACTTGCTCACTTATTTAACAAACACATCCCCACCACCTGCAGTATTGGGTTATGGATCTGAGTAACATTTACATTCCCAACCTCTGACAGTCCTCTTGGGCTGGTTCTGATTGCCCTTGCTCCCAGGCCCTGCCCCTCAGGGCCTCTTCCTCTGAGAGACCAAGAATAACATTGCATCTCATTCCTGTCTCTGCAGGTGGGGCTGCTGCTTCAGGTTCGTCCCTTGGTCTCTATAGTTCTGCAGAGCCAGTGGTGGTGGCATCTGGTGGATTAGGTCCATTCAGCCAGAAAGCCGAGCAGGTGGTACCTGCTGCCCAGGCCTGGGGCGCTCCCTTGGCAGTGCCTGAAGCCAGGGGCTGCTCTGGGGGTGCTAGCTGGGAGACAGCGCGGAGGAAGGAACACAACCGATACTGCCCCAAATTGCCCCCCATGAGGCAGCTGGAGAACTTGGGCTGGGCAGACCCCTGCTCCCGAAGCAGAGCTCCCCACCTGGGTGGCCCCAGCAGGCCTCGGCCCCTGCTGCTGTGTGGGCTGTCACCAGGGGTTCTGACGGTGTCCTCCGAGGCAGGTGGGAAGGAGGCTGGCTCCCAGACTGACATCTGCATCCTAACCCTAGCCATGATGATTGCCGGCATCCCCACCGTGCCTGTTCCAGGCCTTCGGGAAGAGGACCTGATCCGGGCAGCTCAAGCTTTCATGATGGCCCATCCAGAGCCAGAGGGAGCTGTGGAGGGGGTGCAGTGGGAACAGGCACACGCCCACATGGCCTCTGGACAGATGCCTCTAGTGAGATCCAGGAGGGGCTCCTGCTTGTAGCCAGATGAAATAGCATGAGATGCATAGGGCGGCTTCTCCGTATGGTTTTTGGGCAGATGAGGTTGGGGATGGCTATGGCAGGGATGGGAAGAGGGTGTGGGTAACCGAGCCATCCTGGTAAATTGCACTGCTTTGTTAGGACCACCCCCCAGGAAGTTCTTGATACCACTAAGAGAGACAGCTGACCAGGTTAAATCAAGTTACCTAGGTAGGAAGCCCTATTTGGAGAGTAGAGGCTAATTTTATGTTGAGGAACCTGAGAAATTTTTGTCTAAAGTTATAGACAATATGGATTTTCTTCTTGCCCTGTGTCCTTGCTTCCTGAAGAAAGATGGGAATGTAGACAAATGATGGAAAACGCTTGGCTGAGCAAACCTTACAAATCTAGACAAATAGAAACCTATTCTTCTTTAATATAACCAACCCTGTGAGGATGCCCATTTTACAGATAAACTGAGGGTTGGAGAGCTGCCTGCTTGGAGTCTCACAGCTAGCAGAGGCAGAAGCAGGCCTAGAAACTACGACGGGTAAAAGAACCGGAGCAACACTCGCACATAGCCCCACCCTGCCAATCTTCCTTTCACTACTCTCAAGGACCACATATAAACCACACAAGACAAGTGTGGGGATAAAACAGTCACTTTATTGATCCTGGGGTGGGACAGGAAGAACTGGGAAGCCTGGCTGAGCCACTGCAGCAGCCTCTTCCTTTGTGGGAGGGCTTGAGGCCTAGCATCAGGTGAATCACATGACTGGGGCAGCGGTTACCAACCCTGAACCCTCAACCTCATTACCCACTTCTCTCGTTTCCAGAAATTCCTTGAGCTGTATTTTCTCTTATAAAAAAGTTGTCAAAACTGAAGCCAGAATGTACAACAGGGACCGTATTGGATCATCAACGCCCACAATATTTACTACTGAGCCCTTAACAGGAACATTTTCTGACATCTGTTTTACGGAGCTTGACACATTCTAGATAGAAGGCTGGAGTAGAGCAGACGACTTCTGGAAGGGAGCATAACCGTGTGTGTGGAGGGGAGAATGTGAGTGTACGTATGTACACGAACATTTCAGGGCATCAACAGAATCAGAAGTTGGGCCTGGTGACACAGGCCTATAATCCCACTTACTCAGGAGGCTGTTAGTAGGGTCACAAGTTCAAAGCCAGCCTGTCTACAGAGTGAGTTCAAGACTAGTCTGGGCAACCTAGTGAGAGTACCTCGAAATAAAAAGAGGCAGTGGTCAGCACTTGGGAGATAAAGGATCAGGAGTTCAAGGCCAGTCTTGGCTATGTAGTGAGTTTCAGGCCAGCCGAGGTACCTGGTGAGAGGCTGTCTCAAAATAAGAAATAAAAAGAGGCAGTGGTAGAGTATCTGCCTAACATATGTACTGCTCTGGGTTCAATCCCCAGTACTGGGTCTGTGCGTGTGATTAGAGCTGTACCTGCTCATAAGGGCCGATCCAGCTGTCGGCTAGTTCCCGAAGGGTGCTATAGCGACGCTCAAATTCCTCCTTGCTACAGTGCTGCAAGAGCCGACCTACCTCCTCAGTGAGGAGAGTCACCGCCAGGTGCTTATCCAGGGTGGCACTCCACTTGCTTCCCAGGATGCTGTCTAGACTGGTGGCACAGCCTGAGGTCCACTGAGCCTGCAGCATGTCAGGCTGGAGCACCTGGTGTCGGGCACTGAGCATGGCTAGGATGTGGCGGCAGGGCAGGTGGAAGGCTTGGTTAAAGTAGCAGCTGCAGCTGGCAGGGGGCTGGGGCTGTACATTGTGCGTATCTTCCAGAATCTGAATGTTCACTTTTTCTGAGCCAGAGCCAATGAGATGCATGGATTTCTGGACCACGGCAAGCTCGCCTAGGCAGAGTTGGGCTGCTGGCCCTGTGCAGATGGCATTGAGCGAGTGCTGGATCCGGGCTTCTACTACTTGCTCTGTGCTGGGGCTTTCAAGGCTGGCATCGGAAGGAGTGTGACTGTCCTTGGGACTCACAGCCAGGTTGAGGCTTGCTTTGTCAGAAGGGTTCTGCTGCATGTATCTGAACACAGATGCCATGCCTTGTTTCTCAAATGGGGTGGTGCCGAAAAACTGACTGAGGAGGTGGGCTGTGATCTCTAGGCTCCGGAAGTATCGGGTGCTCTGGGCTCGGCTTCTCCAGCGGTGGGCCAGCCAGATGCGGTCGTTGAGCAGCCAGTGTGAGTGGAGCTCCGGCAGCCTGGTGGAGGGGATGCAGTTGCTCAGGAGTGTGTAGAGCTTCCTCAGGTTGCCAGCTGTGGCGGAGCACATCGTGCTCTGCAGGGAGGACAGAAGCACGCTCTGGACCTGCTTCTCCAGGGAGAGCTGATAGAATTTCCCCTGGAGGAACTTACAAATGTGGAAGGCTGAGAGCAAGACCTCAGCAGTGGGGAACTCCATGGTCAGGGTGGGCAGCAGCAGGAAGTGAGGATCTACCAGGATGGTACAGACTCGTTCCCATGCTGGGTTAAACTTTTTGAACACCTGGAACATCTGGGCCAGGCCTTTGGCATCTTCATTGGTAGGGATAGCAAAGAACACTGCTCGGGCCAGAGGACCCTCCAGCTGTACCCGGGGTCCATCTACCAGGAAGGTGTATAATACCTTGCCTCTTGGGTTGTAGGTCCGGTGTATAAATAAGACCTCAGGGAAATGAGCAAAGAGGTCCTGCATGAAGCAGCTTTGGTGTGTGAAGGTATCTAGCTGAGGAGTCTTGCTGATCTGGTGCAGCAGTGTAGGTGGGCTTGAGTCCTCAATAAGAAGTCCATTCAGCATTGTGAGGGCCATGGAGGAGCTGGGAGGTCTCTAAAGCCAACGCTAGGGTCCTCCCTCTGCAGGACTGCTGTCAGGAAGGCATGAAGTTTCTCAATGGCTCGGAATTTGACACTGAAGCTAGACTGTAGTTTTAGGTTCTGTTCCGATGGGCCTATGGATAGGAAGAGATTCTTAAAACAGTAAGGACCTAGCTCTTCAAATATTTATCCAGACAACAATTCAATATGTATCAACCATTTAGTATGTATCTTCTAGGGGCAGATATATAACAAGTACATAAGGACACATTGGATAATGGTTATAAAAAACACAAAAAACGAAAAAACAAGTCAGAGAGTATGCTGGGGAAGGCAGGACATATTAGTTCAAGTTGAAGGTCTCTTGAGGGGAAATTACGCTGGATATGAGATGTAAATAACAATCTAGCCATAGAAACATATGGTTCCCAGGGACTTAGAGCCAGGTGTAGCGGTGCTTCTTGTGATCCAAGCTCTCTACAGGGCTGAGGCAGAAGGATCACCGGCCAGTCTGCCTGAATTAGTTTAAGAACAGCACAGGCAGTTTAGGGAGAACCTGTTTCAAAACATAAAACTCCTAACAACAACAACAACAACCAAACAAACAACCACTCACATACACTCACCAAAACCCCAAACCCACAACCAAACAAAGGACTGGGGAGTTTGGTGTGGTAATCCCAGCACATGGGAGGTAGAGACAGCCCGGTCACCTGAAGGTCATCTTGGACTATATGAGATCCTGTCTTAAAAACAAAGACTCAGGGTTGGGGTATAGCTCACCGGCAGTACAGGGTTTGAAAACATATGCCCTTTATTCTTTTTATACAAGGATACTGCTGTGTAGACCTGGCTTGCCCCCAGCCCACAGCAATCCTCTCACCTAAGCTTCCTAAGTCCTAGGATTCACAAAAGTGTCACCACATACAATTCTTTTTTAAAAATATCATTCTAAATATTTTGTATAGCTCCTTTTTTTTGTTTGTTTGTTTTGTTTTTGAGACGGGGCTTCTCTGTGGCTTTGGAGGCTGTCCTGGAACTAGCTCTT